CCAAGCTGATAGTGCCTATGGATCCTGCTTGGGACTCTCCTGCCTCTCTCTGCCCCTCCCCCGCCTGCACCCTCCCTCTCAAAATAAATAAATAAGTAAACTTTAAAAAACAGAAAAGAAAAAAAAAAGACAAGAGATAATAGGAGTTTTTACTAAAATTGAATTTATTGAACTTTTCGCTGAAATTCTACATACTGATGCTAAACCTTCCATTCCTTTGAGAAATGATGGTAGTTGTTAACAATAGTTGTTTGTTTTCAATTTGGCAAAGTTGAAATTTGACAGCCTGATGTCCAAATGTTTTGAACCTCGTACTAATCTTGAGAATCTTGCGGGAACAGCTGCAATCTGTGGCCCTTATCCTGTTAGTGGGGGGCCAGGACCCCTGTGACTTGCCTCCCCCCCTACCCTCTCCTCAGGTCTCGGGCTGCTTCCCCCCAGGAGACCAATGGGGAAAGCTCTGTGGAAGGGCTGGCGACTCGCTTCCAGGTAGGATGGTGCCTTCTGCGGGGAACTCCAGCACCCCAAAATGAGGGGAGACCTGAGGGGCAGGGCTGGTAGGGGACGGGTACCCCCTTCTCAGTCCTTCTCTCCACAGGGCTCCGTGAGGACGCACACTGACAGCCAGTCCTCCCTGAGGTCTTCCTGCTCCAGCCCAGTCTTTTCCAGCCCCCAGCCCGGCAGCCCGTTCTCTGCCCTGCCCCCCACCAGCCCGCAGGCCCTCCCTGGAGAGACCGTTGTCAGCCGCAGGTGAGCCCAGGGGGTGAGCACCACGGCCACAGGGTCTGGACCAGGCCTCTCAGGCTGAGTAACTGGGTTTAGGGGAGTTTGAGGGTACCCTCCTCTTCCCTGAGGCAGGCTGGGTGGGACGCCCGGCACACACATCATCCATTTCCCCCATTTCAGTTTCCAGAGCCTGGCACATTCCCCGGGATTGGCTGCTGCTGACCGCTTTTCCTACGGGGGCCACCCCAGAAGTCGACCGGTGAGAATACCTGGTGGGGAGGATAGATCCTCCCGTCCTGGCTGGTTGCCAGTGGCACCCATTGGGCTGCAGATGGCGGGTCCCACCTGGGCAACCAGCGCCTCATCTCTTAGCAACAAGCATGCCCCTCTCCTGAGCCAGAAGGCCACTGTGTCTGGTGGTAGGCCACACTTCCTGTGCCTGGGGCCCTGCCCTGCCAGTCCCAGGTGGCCTTCTACCTCTTATACTCCCATTTGCCGCCTCCCCCCTTCTGCTAGCTTCCTCCCTTCCTGAGTGTTTCTCTTGGGCCAGGGCTGAAATAGTTTTGCTGCTGTTGTTGGGATGGTTCCCTCTGGCTCTGGCTGCATCTCTTGAACACATTCCTCCCCATTCCAAGCCCCATGCCTGCCCCCAACTCCCATCACCCATCCCCCTTCCTCCTTGTCTGACTCAGCCCAGAGAACCACCAATGGGACTGTGGTTCTGCCTCAAGTAGCACTTGGCTTACTCTCTGTCTGCCCCTCTCCCTGCTCTTCTACCCTGGATGCCCCCCTCTCAGGTCCCACTGTGAACTAGTGACAGCCTTCCCCCCCCCCCTCCACCTCCCTTAGCATTTCTCCTCTCTAAGGGCAGGGGTGGTGAGGAAGTGAGGGACTGAGTCGGCCAACAGTCCTGGGCCACAGCTGCTGGGGGCAGAGTTGGTGGGGGGCATGTCCAGCCTTTGGGGTGAAAGGGATGAGGCCCAGCTGCTGGAATCCTACCTCCGGTTGATTCTGCATTCCAGAAAGCAGAGTCTTTGGAGATGGCTGGGGGAGGGAATTAGAAACTGGGGGCTCTGGAGAAGGAAGGAGTGGGCTTCACTGGGGGCTGCACAGTAGGGGCTCCCCAGTGGCCTGCTATGGGCCCACCAGGTGGCCTGCCAGGCAATGTGGGCATAGAAATCCATTCAATAAGATCCCCGTCTTTAAAGAATTTAAAATGCAGTTGGGGAGATAAGACAAACATGTAAAGCAGTTTTGGAACAATTAAGTACTAAACAGTGTGGTCTTAATTATAAAAGCAGGAGGCATTCTGGGAGGGGAGAGATGAATGTGGGCTGGGTGGCCTGAGAAGGCTTTGTCAGGAATTTTGCTGGACGTCAGAGGTAGGACCGGGTAGGGTTTAGATTAGAGAATGATAAGCCAGGGAGACGGGAAAGCAGTGTGTAAGCAAGACCTGGCGTGTTTGGGCCCGGTGAGGGGGGGCTTCTCTGGGAGATCTTTGGGCTGAGACCAGTGGGGAATGTGCTTGGCCCAGGGCGTGGCTGGAGAGGGCCCATCCATCTTGGCCTTCTTCCTTGTGGTGTCCCAAACTTGGGCAAAGGGGAGATGCTGGTGGTACAGGGAGTGTCTCCCAAAGCAGCAGCAACACCTTGGAACCTGTTAGAAATGCAAATTTCCAGGCCTCAGCCTGGGCTTACTGAATCAGATGCAGGGGTGAGGGTGTGGACAGGGGGACCGGTCTGTGTTTTAAGGAGGCTTCAGGGATCTGATGCATCCAAAGATTCGAGGACCACCCATGTGGTGTAAACAGGAGCCCTGGGCCGGGTGGCAGGGAGACTTGGGTTAGTCCCACTCTACCATCTAACCTTGGATAAGCAGTCCCCATGCACCAGGTTCCCTTCTTTGGCCCCAAGGACCGTGATCATTCCTTCAACAAATTTTTATTGAGCAGTTGCTTTGTGTCAGGCACCCTTCCCAGGCTCTGGGGATGCGTTGGTGGATAAACAGATATTCCTAATCCAATGAAGTTTGCATTCTGGTCTGCCAGTGAGGCTGTGGTCAGATGGTGTGGGAGTGTCGGGGTCCCACACTTCCCTCTTGGGAGTCACTGTGTACTTTTAGCACCTTAAAGACTCTAAGAAGTCCCATGAGAAATAGATTTAATTTTATTAGTTGTCTAAACTTGTTTAACTATAGAATTTCTCCTGGAATCCCCCCACCCCAACCTGCCACTCACTTATTAACATCCCTGTGTTCCCCAGAACACATGTTGAAGGGTGTTGGCCACAGATGAGCTCTTGTTGGGCAGGTGGACAGCTTTGCTGGACTTGGAGATGAAAGGTTCCTTTTGTGAAGGCAGGTATCCCTGGCTGACTAGGATGGAGGGAGGGAAGAACTTTCTCCAGTAAGGGAGTTGGGCTCCTCTCTCTCAGGGCACAGTGGTCTGGAAGGAGGAAGGGGGTTAGAGGTGAGTGTAGATGAGGTGTCTGCCGTGGCCATGATTTTGCTGCTGGCTTTCGAGCTGGCTGAGGCTGCGCTCAGTCCAAGGCACAGGACACCACCAGCCTCCATAGTACCCTTCTGGAAACTGGAAGTTGCCACCTCTGGGTAGGTACACGCCTTGCTGAGCAGATGTGAAGACAGCACCCCTCTGGCTGGCATGAGAACTTGGCTTACAAAGGGAGCCTGGGCGGATTTCTCCCTGCGAGCCGCTGCCCCTGTGCAGGGCACATGCTGGCTCAGGACAGCGAGATGGGATGTCGTTCTTAAGTAACTGGTGCTGACTGTCCTTCCTGAGGAAATTATCTTACCGTCTGTCAGTTGACCGCAGGCCACCAAGTGTAGGAGGAATGTAGACTGGGGGAAGACGGCTGGGGGAGTGAGGGTCTGGGGCTTTCTTCTCAAAACTCTGCAGTTTCTGTTTTTAGCTTTAAAATCCATGCAGTTTTACCATTTGACCCCATAACTTGTCCTTGATTTTGAATTTTAAAATGGAAGAAAGCTGGCTTTCCAGGGAAATGTGCCCTCAGCTAGTGCACGGTGGCCTGTCTTTTTGTCTCTGGGGTTCCCCTTTCCGTGGGGGATGGCTGTGGAGAGGGGGCAGGGTAGTAGGGGAGGGTGCAGAGGTGCATGCCAGAAAGCAGAGCAACAATGAGGTTGAAGGCAAGATTTCCAGGTAGACGGCAAGTGAAAAGAGCCCAAGATGGATAGCACACACCTGGGGAGGGGGAGCCGCTGCTGGGGTGTGGGTCCAGAATGGGCCTGGCCCCCAAGGCTCCATGGGGCAGAATTAGACCTCCAGGGCAGCCAGAAGAGGCTGGTCAGCCCAGACCCCGGGGCCCTCTTAGGAGAGGAAGTGTGTGTAGGAGAGAGGTCCCTTGTGCTGCCCCATCCCTGACTCCAAGACAGGTCCTTGGGCCCTTCACTCCATCCCTTTGTGTTTTCTTCTCACTGCAAAAGCATCTGCTTTCTTCCTCTCTGCTTGTTCTGCCCCTTGCCCAATCTCCTTGCAGAAACTTCACACCTCCATAGTTGGGTGCTGGCCTCTCTCCCCTTCTGGGAATGAGCAGAACACTCCCTAGTGCCCCGAGGGTAGGATTTGGTGTATTGGGCCCTTGCGCCTGAGGGCCTGTTGGTCAGCAAGAGCTGGGGGCCCTCTGGTGTCGGGCCTGGGGAACAGCCGGGCTTGGCTCGGCAGCCCAGA